GATTGCTGCGGCTGCGTCCCCAGCATTCCCTGCGTTCCCAGTGTTCTTCACCCCGCCATCCCCAGTACTTGGCCAATTTGTTGCGTCCGAAGTTCATGACAAGGACATTTAGTCCGGCCTGGTATGCAGTCTGGCTGCATCCTCCGCATTCTCAGCATGGGAGGGATAGGCAGTGAGTCGCGGCAGTCGTCGCACCACAGATGGCGTAGCGATTTCAATAATCAAAAACGTGCAAACACACACGCACACCCCACAAACAAGCAAACCCACCCACCCACCCACCCACCTACCCACCCACCCACGTGCAAAACACACACACACCACAACACACCCACACCCACATCCCACACGTGCACGCTCACACACACTCACACGCCCACGCGCACGCGCACGCGCAGCACACGCGCACACGCGCACATGCACACACACACACACAGGCAAACACGGCCCCCACATGGGGCCACACGCCCCCACACGCCCCGACACGCACACACACGCACACATGCACACAAGCACACACGCACACACGCACACACACACACACACAAACACACACACAAACACACACACACACACACACAGGCACGCACGCACGCACGCACGCACGCACGCACGCACGCACGCACGCACGCACGCAGGCACGCAGGCACGCAGGCACGCAGGCACGCAGGCACGCAGGCACGCAGGCACGCAGGCACGCAGGCACGCAGGCACGCAGGCACGCAGGCACGCAGGCACGCAGGCACGCAGGCACGCAGGCACGCAGGCACGCAGGCAGGCAGGCAGGCAGGCACGCAGGCACGCAGGCACGCACGCACGCACGCACGCACGCACGCACGCACGCACGCACGCACGCACGCACGCACGCACGCACGCACGCACGCACGCACGCACGCACGCACGCACGCACGCACGCACGCACGCACGCACGCACGCACGCACGCACGCGCACGCACGCACGCACGCACGCACGCACGCACGCACGCACGCACGCCGCACGCACGCACGCACGCACGCACGCACGCACGCGCACGCACGCACGCACGCACGCACGCACGCACGCACGCACGCGCACGCACGCACGCACGCTCGCACGCACGCACCCACACACACTCACACACGCATACACGTCACACACACTGGCGTAGCCGAACCACACACACACCAGAAACACCACATAACACCACGCCAACACACAAACACACACACAACCACACACACACACACACACCACACACCACCACCAAACACACACACACACCACACAACAACACACACACCACACACAACACACACCCACACACACACACACACACACACACACACACACACACACGCACACGCACACGCACACGCACACGCACACGCACACGCACACACGCACACACACGCGCGCACACACACACAGAAACACACATACACACCCGCCCACCCACGCACGCACGCACGCACGCGCACGTGCATACGTACAAGCACACACACACACACACACGGGCAGGTTCTCAGCTGCGCCCTGTATGAGGAACTCAAGCGCGCCCTTCATGTCAACCGTCGTGCTAACTCAAATGCGCCCCGGCAAGTTACTCAACCGCGCCCCTACCGCTCAAAGTGCTGCGCCTGCCACAGAATCCAGCTCTAGAAGCGAGCTCTTGCTTGGGGGGCGGGGCTGGGGGGGGTGGGTGGGGGGAGGGGGGGGGAGGGAATGGTAAGCACACTCGCTCAAGTGCACCCGCTCAGCTCTGTGTCCACGCATGCGACATAGTTCTAGGGGCGGGGGGGCATGATAAGCACACCCGCTCAACTGCTTCAGTCCAGCCTGCTCTTTACATGGTTCTAGGGGGAGAGGGGGGGTGGGTGGGGGAGGGAATGGTAAGCACACCCGCTCAATTGCGCCCGCTCAGCTCTGTGTCCACGCACGCGACATAGTTCTAGGGGGGGGGGGGGGTTGGGGGGGGCATGATAAGCACACCCGCTCAACTGCTTCAGCCCAGCCTGCTCTTTACCCGGATTACGAGATAACATGGTTCTAGGGGGAGAGGGGGGGTGGGGGGGGGCTCGCGAATCAGTTACCTCATGAGTGCTGACCACGACAGTTCACACATTCTCCAACCTCTGTATTAGGGGCGGTGGTTGTTGTTGTTGTTGTTGTGGTTGTGGTTGTGGTTGTGGTTGTGGTTGTTGTGGTTGTTGTGGTTGTTGTGGTTGTTGTGGTTGTTGTGGTTGTTGTGGTTGTTGTGGTTGTTGTGGTTGTTGTGGTTGTTGTGGTTGTTGTGGTTGTTGTGGTTGTTGTGGTTGTTGTGGTTGTTGTGGTTGTTGTGGTTGTTGTGGTTGTTGTGGTTGTTGTGGTTGTTGTGGTTGTTGTGGTTGTTGTGGTTGTTGTGGTTGTTGTGGTTGTTGTGGTTGTTGTGGTTGTTGTGGTTGTTGTGGTTGTTGTTGTTGTGGTTGTTGTGGTTGTTGTGGTTGTTGTGGTTGTTGTGGTTGTTGTGGTTGTTGTGGTTGTTGTGGTTGTTGTGGTTGTTGTGGTTGTTGTGGTTGTTGTTGTTGTTGTTGTTGTTGTTGTTGTTGTTGTTGTTGTTGTTGTTGTTGTTGTTGTTGTTGTTGTTGTTGTTGTTGTTGTTGTTGTTGTTGTTGTGTTGTTGTTGTTGTTGTTGTTGTTGTTGTTGTTGTTGTTGTTGTTGTTGTTGTTGTTGTTGTTGTTGTTGTTGTTGTTGTTGTTGTTGTTGTTGTTGTTGTTGTTGTTGTTGTTGTTGTTGTTGTTGTTGTTGTTGTTGTTGTTGTTGTTGTTGTTGTTGTTGTTGTTGTTGTTGTTGTTGTTGTTGTTGTTGTTGTTGTTGTTGTTGTTGTTGTTGTTGTCGTTGTCGTTGTCGTTGTCGTTGTCGTTGTCGTTGTCGTTGTCGTTGTTGGTGCTGGTGGTGGTGGCGGCCGGGTGGCTTCAAAATAGTGGCCAAGGGCACAAACGAGTTAGCTGGGGTGGCCGGAAATGGTGGCCCTGCGCAGTAGAACATCAAAAAGTGGCACACCCACGAGTTAGCGCATGAAGGGCACAGACGAGTTAGCCATGCAGGGCACAGCCGAAGGCGCACCCCACACACACACACACACCCACACCCACACCCACACCCACACGCACACGCACACGCACACGCACACGCACACGCACACGCACACACGCGCGGACACACGCGATCACACACACACACACAACTCAAGCACGGACAAGTAAGCGCACAAATGCACAAACACTTGCACACAAGCACGGTAAACATATTAAACACAATCACACACACACAAACACACAACTAACCTACCACAAACAAACAAACAAACAAACAAACAAGCAAGCAAGCAAGCAAGAAAGCAAGAAAGCAAGCAACACAACACGCAAACCAAACCAAACCAAACCAAACCAAACCACACAAACAAAGCAACATATCAACAAACAAAGCAATAAAGCAACAAACCAACAAACGACGCAACAAGGCAACAAACCAACAACCAAACAAACAAACAAACAAACAGATACGCAAACAAAGAAAACAAACACACCTCACACACACACACACATATACACACACACATACACACAAAACACCCACAACACACACACACACACATGTCACGCACACACGCACGCGCACGCGCAAGCGCGCACATACGTACAAGCACACACACACACAAACACACAAACACACAAACAGACACACACACACACACACAACCTGTTCACGTTGGGGATCCCTTCGGATGCCAAGTGGGTTTCATGGAAACGCGGCACAAGCCCATCGACAACTCCCAGCAAATCGACAACTCCCAGCAGGTGTTGGCAGATTCTTGCACCCAGTATTAACCTTTGGGAACCCTGAAAATGGACGGATCCATCCACGAGTTTTGATTTCACTTAGTTTGAGACAACAATAACGAAACTCTCAATGACGCAAGCCAAAGTCGGTGACAAGGAAATCATTGGACGTGCATGGCTCCCAGTGTCAGACAGACACATACAGTCAATAGCAGCTACCCGAAGGAGTCCCGAAAAGCCCGCAGGAGTCCACTAAAATGGATTAGAATGGTCCCCAATGCTGCGAATCGGACAACATGTTTCCAGCTTCCTGTATTTGGGCTCATGCCTAAAGGGAGCTTCCCGTTCTCAAACTTCAACTCCCAAATAGGTGGTGGGGTTGTCTTTCTTTGGTGTCCGCAAAATTGTTGCAACCTTCAGGTATGCTTCTGAAAACAACCCTCACTTATGATCCGCACTCACCACTTTCCGTTTCGGCCTAGCCACTCTTCCTCGCTCTCCACCTCCTCCTTCACTTCCTGAGTTGATGTCTTGGTGACCTTTTCATGGCTAGCGAGACCTCCCCTTCCCAGATTTGATGGGCTAGCTGTGCCTGAAGCTTCAGGGTGAAGCTGGCCCCACTCTTCCGGGTCGAAACATGACTCGGCAGAGCTACAAAGCAACAAGCTCCTCAAGGCTCTTCTTGCCATGAGCACTGAAAAAGACACGCCTGCCAAGACAAGACAAGCAGTGGTAGTAGAAAAGCTACGCGAATTGTGGTCCAACTGATGGACACAATCCCGAGTTGGGGTGGATGAAACCGTATAAATATTGGGATAAGCCGCTTACCAGCCGGTGCAGGAGTGTCATCACAATAGATTCTAGTTGGTAACTCACTTTGGTGCTAGTCGAGTAGTGATTGTGGTCCTCACGTTGCCCAAGATTTCGGAAAAGTTTCTCTGCGGCAGCTTGACGGGAGATTAAGTGTTGCATTGGCCCTTAGCATCCAATGGTGGGTTGATTTCGGCCTGTACGACCTAGCGTTCGAGTTGGCCCTAAATCGAGCTCTTGTGGCGGCATTGATAGGAGAGGCTTTCGAAATGTTCGGGCAGTCAACCACATGGCGTACGTGCAAGGGAAACCAGAAGCTTGCCACTCATTCCACGTTTCCTATAGTTTGGCCCGACTCTGGGGTATACCGAAAGAAAGCTCAGAGTCTACCTTATACCTCGCCTACCCTAAAATGTAAAATGCATTCCGACAGTGACTGCGAAAACCAGGTTGGTTCGCCGAACCCTTCTCCCACAGGCAGCAAGCTCGCCCTTCAAATGCTGCCAAAGCATCGGTTTGGGTGCAATTCTCCCAAGGCCGGCTGGCCTGACCGCATCAATCGACCGAGCGCGTAGCCAGACCATACTCGCCAGTTGTTTGTTATCAAAACGAATATGAAAGAGGGCATCATATTCGAGTGGACTGATCGATCTCTAATTCACCGTTGACCAACAAGTCGTGATATCGAGCAATATTGGAGGACACCCCAGTAGAGGTTGGGCGCCGCCTTCTCCCCAAACCGAAGGATCTCCACTCTAAAATGTTGCTCTCGGTAAATGAACTTCCCAGGTTCCGGGTGGTTCAGAGACAAAAATAAAGATCCCAGCGTGTTCTCCTCAAAATGGTGGACTCCCAAATCTGGGCGGTGTCCTTGTGGAGTCCAAACAAAATGATCCAAGGAGCTAGGTACTCCAGTAGAGGTTAGAATAAGTTGGTACCAACTTTTTTCTGTAGTCTATTTTAGTAGGGGAACCCGCCCCCCAAAATAGAAACGGTAAAAGGGCACTGGGGGACCTAGCCTTTCATGGGCTTCCGGCCTGCACACGCCCAGCCCCAATCGGGTCGTAGCGGCAGAGGTACAGCCTGCCATCGACCATCCAAAGCCAAGCGGCAAAACGGGAGAAAAGGCGCTTTGTCCAGGGTACTGAATCTTCCCGGCGTGGTTTGGGGTGAAAAAGACAGATTCCACCTTCTCAAGATGGGATTCCACTTTGCTTTTTTTCTTGGGGGTAGCGGGTTCCTCATAGGTTCCTCATGGGCTCCGTATGGTCAGCGGAATCTCTATCGCCAACAACTATCATCATTTGGACTTGTTTGAGTCCACTACTTTCAACACATTTGAGCTACGTGCAAACACATACAAACAAGGTGAGGAAAGCGGGGCTGGGGGCAGATTCCTGGTGCTGGCAGGCCGTCCCCAAGGCTTCCGGGTAGCTCCCAAACCCTACCTGGATCCCTTCCTTCCCCAGTCCCCATTTCAATCAGTGAATTAGATGGTTAAATCATCGTTTAGATACAGAGGCATGCGCCTGCACCAACACCTCTCGTCAACAAGAAACAGCAAACTTCCTGGCGTTACCAGTTCTCCCCTGACCCCCGAAACTCAGGCTCTTCTAAACCCCACAGCCCAAGCTTTCACTTGGAAAGCATCCTGAACCGGGCCACCTCGGTGACTACTTTTTAAAAAGAAAGTTCTCTTGGCACCGCAGAAAGCGATCAACACCCCGATTTCCCGTGGCCCTTGGTCAAAATCCCGTACCCCCAGTGAACATCCCAATCCCCACTAAAATAGGTTCTAAAATGGGTGGTGCACCCACCAACCAAAATGGGATCCCAAAACGTTTTGACAACCACAGCCACGCGCCTCCGGCCGTTCAGCATGTACCCGTCCATGCCGGCGATCGCCGCCTTGGCCTCCTTGGAGCAGGAGAACCTCGGCACGGTGCTCGTCGCGAGAGGGTCCGGCGCCCGTCGCGGGAACGAGCTGCGGATCGGTGGATCGGGGAACGAGCAAAGAAACCTAGGGGACTTGGCCAAGGACAGAAAAGCAAGGTGAACATTTGGGAACATGAAACATCATAAGTCCCAGTGTTTTCCCTTAACAGACCACCCTACTAAGGGACACTCACCAAAAATGGGACAAACAAGTGATGGACAAATTCACGCAAAAGTGACAAAAAAGGACCACTTGTCTTGCCCCTTGATTTGCTTGAGCCAATTAGCCCTTTGGCCGCAGCAAAGAAAAGGTGCGAAGGAACCACGGCAAGCTTTCTTTCTTTCCAACCATCACGGAAGTGGAGAGGAGGCTTTCCCAAAAAGGTAGTTCGAGGAAGGAAATTCAAAATGAGGATGTACTTACCCTCCCACCACTTCACATGGAACCTGACAGGGTTCCAGGGTCCCTTTGGAAGGAAAGCGGTCCAAACCAGGAAAGCCCCCCGAAGGTCCAGGTTCGTTTGGTGGGACGCACGCGTCCTCTGAACTCCTTCGATTCCAAGCGGCCGACAGGTGCCCATGCCCAGAGACCGGCCGTTGGGCTTCACACGGAGCTCAAACTCCTGCGGCTGAGGCCCGAAGGCTTGGTGTGGACAAGGCCACTTTGGGGGGGGGGGGGGTTATTACATGTATATATATATATATATGTATATGTACACATGTTTATTAGTATCAGTATTATGATTATTGTAAATATTAGTATTATTATTGGTTTATTATTATTATTATTAGTAGTATTATTACTATTATTATTATTGTTATTATTACTATTATTATTATTATTATTAGTATTATTATTATTATTACTATTATTATTATTATTATTATTATTATTATTATTCTTATTATTATTATTATTATTATTATTATTATTATTATTAGTGTTAGTATTATTAATATTATTATTATTATTATTATTATTATTATTATTATTAATATTATTATTAATATGATTGTCATTATCATTATCATTATCATTATCATTATCATTACTATTATTATTATCATCATTATTGTTATTATTATTATTATGATTAATATGATTATTATTAGTATTATTATAAGTATTATTATTATTGTTATTATTATCATTACTATTGCTAGTATCATCAGTATTAGTATTATCATAATTATTACTACTATTATTATTATTACAATTATTATTATCATCATTATCACTATTATTAACATTATTATAAGTACTGTCATTATCATTATCATTATCATTATTGCTAATATTATTAGTCTTATTATTATTGTTATTATTACTATTACTATTATTATCATCATTATTATTATTAGTATCATAATAATTACTATTACTATTATTATTACAATTATTATGATCATCATTGTCACTAGTATTAACATTATTATAATTGTTATCATTATCATTATCATTATCATTATCATTATTGCTATTATTAGTATTCTTCTTATTATTATTATTTTAGTTTATTGCTTTTAGTATCATGATTATTACTACTGCTATTATTACGTGTATATATATATATATATGTTGTATATCTACTATATATATATATGATATCTATACAAATATACGTCGGACACCAAGGACACCAGCTTGTTGGGTGCGCGGCATTTGGAGATGTAGACAACAGAGTGCTGCTGCAAATGTTGATGGCTCCCGGCAAATGATGACAATTAGAATCAAAGCGGAACCCCTGCTCTGATTTTCACCGGATCCCAACGCGCCCCTAACTCCGCCCCATATCAGCCCGAACACGCCTCATTGGGGTGGGTGGGGGAGAAGGGGGGCCAAACATATGACAGGGCCACCAACCTTGACAAGAAACAAGGAAGCCAACAAATCATAAGCTGGATGGTTATAGCCTAGTCCGGGGCAGTCCCAACTGCAAATGATGTGGCGCTCCGCCCCTTTTGGTGTCTTGCCACTCTTGGATAGACTCAGGGCTCCCTTTCTTTCCGGTTGAACAATAAAACTTCGAATCGGCTCAAAATCAGTTTCCCGCTGATTGGTGCGGTCCAAGTCACCAAACCACTCATCCAAGCCATCAACGAGGGGTTGTCTGACAACAGGCGATGCTTAAATCTGCCCTTGCGCAGTTGGAGCCGTGATTTCGACTCGAGGCCTCTGGGCACAATCGTGGCCTGTTGGCTCAGTGAACCTTGAAACCTGAATGTCCAGACCCTCAGTGGCCATGGGCAAAAAGTGTGTCGTGATAGTTGCTTGATCTTAAAGGAACAAAAGGCACCGGGCGTCTGGGAATCCAAGGCTGGTGCAGCCGAAGACCATGGGTGCGGTAAAGTGTGCGAGTCGCTGCCAGTCGCCGCGAGCCCCACGTGTCTCATTTGCGAAGCCTAGAAAGGGCTAAAGGGCCCCACCCCACCGGCGCTCTACCAACCTGCAGAGAAAGAGAAGCCTTTGCAGACAGACAGCAAGGCGGGGCGATTTCGCCTATCACTTGCCTGGTGGTTTTCTCACGAGAGAAGGACATGCCTTTGTGTGTTTGCCAGAATGCACTCTTGTGAGGTCAAAACCCGCAAGAAAACTGGCGGAGTGATGGAAAGACAAGGGCCTGTTTCTCAGGCGGGCTCTTGAAGGCAGAATTCTACACTAGAAATTGACCATGAAAGTGATTATTGCATTTTGCGCTTTGGTCGGCTATGTTCACGCAAATTCCCATTGAAGGCCTCGAAAAGGACATTTCACCACTAGGAATGACTAGCCAACGTGCGGCCTTGCGTGTAGACAACCATCATTTGTATATGATGTGGCCGAATCTCCGGAGATTGTATCGGCCATGCAAAGTTTTCGGAAAAGAATCATCCTTAGAATGATTGTCATTCATCACTTTATTGAGGCATTGGTGGGCGCTTCTGGGCTCCTCCACAGTGCCGTACTTGGCGAATTTGGTCTTCAGTTCAGTGCCGCTCATGGTCCAGGACACGTTGTGGAAGAACACGCAGGGCCGGAAGCTCCTCAGGACTGACCTTTTGAGCTGAAGGGAAATTGGTTTGAGACATGCCACCAAGTCCTGTGGATGGTTAAATCAAACGTGCGGGCCCGTAGGCCACTGACATAAATGCTGAGGGAAAATTGCCAGTGATGGCTACAAAATGGCTACAAAATCCACCAGACCTACAAATATGCCAATATGGTCCTACTGACGGCACCAAAATCCAAACCCAATGAAGCTCGAATTGAATGATTGCTGGTTGATAAACCACCAAACTGGTGCAGGATTTGTCCGTCCACAAGACGGGTTCCAGGTTCTGGGGAAGAACTTTGACCCTTGAACCCCCCGAAGGCACACTTCTAAGAAGGGTACTCCTTGGAATATATGCGACAACACCATCCCCTGACTAGTTTTCCGGGCCCCTGGAAAGAACGGGACCTTGAAAAGGTTTTGATTCCGCGCCGAAGAATGAGTCATTAGCATGGGTGTTTCTCAAAAAAAATAGGGAATGATTGGACGGTTTCCAGGGGAACCAGAAGGAAACCGTTGCCACCTGCAGGAATTGGTCCCTTTGGAGGTAACACCCACATTTTCTCGGAGCCTTTCAGCTGGACAAAACGTCCAAACGCCCTTCAGACCGCCCGAGGGAAATGTCTGGAGCCTAGCCTTCAAACTTCGAGGGTGCGTTGTGGGTATTCACCTCCCAGATCCAAAAGTGCGGCGGCTTTTGGGAACCCCTGGAATGGTTACTTCAGGGATTTGGCAGGACAACCCTGTTTCCTTGGAAGTTGCTTCTTCAATATGTGGTCAGAAGCTTTGACGTGGTGCATGGACATCATCTTCCATCAACCACTTGCGAGGTGGTTCATAGCCATATCGGGTCAACAGTGCTGATAGTCTATTGTGATGGATAAGGCGAAAAGGGGATCTGCTCGCTGGCAATCGGTTGGAATTGGCTTTCCGAAACTTCTTTCATACATGCCTGTGGTGACATGGCTGTGGGTCAAAACCCTGTACCCCTGGTGAACATCAAAATAGGTGGCAAATGGATGTTCATCCACCCCAAAAATGGATCCATAGGTTATGCCCCATGGCCACATGGCTATGCGTTTTCATTGGGGACCCCTAGGGTGGGCACCATCACCCAAGTGTTGACCATGGCTCTTGTGACCAGTCTGGGAGTGGTAGAGGCCGCCTGGGTGCAGTAACCATTTGGCTATGGAATTTAAGAGTTGGAACCACCTCAAATCGACATGACGCCCCATAAATGATTTCCTTAGACTCATGACTCATGGTTGTCTAATCCATAGCAACCCTTCCCAACGTTGACAGCAGAAAGCCCTTAGGCCCCGGAAGTGGCCCTTGAGTTGTCCAGGTTGGTGTTTTCTGACCTGCCAGGGGGTCCACGTTCAAAAAAACAACACTGCAAAACAGAAACCAGCACCCATGAAGCTGCTTGTTCACTGGCACTCCCTGCCTTGTGCCACGTTCGCGGCACAAATGATGTCAAATTCAGATAAACCCGGACGACCGTGATCGGGGGAAGTTCTGATTTTGCTGGCAGTTCCATCAAATCACCCCCCCCCCTCAAGCAAATTTATCTCCCCCATGTTCAAAACAAATATCCACACGGGCAGCAGGCCGAGATGCTTCGGAGGCCGGTGGTCCTCGGCGCGCTTTGCGAAAACCGCAGCCCAACACATTCTGGGAGCCTCCCCCTTTGTTACTCGCACCCTCAATTTTGGGTGCGAAAAGGGCACCAATGAAAAAAACACACACCCCAAACGGGTCCCTGAAAGCCCCCTCCTCTGGGGGGACGGGGCCCTAGAGGCCGGCCGAAAAAAAGAAGAAGCAAAAAAGCGATCTATGAACAAGATCTTGGACATCAGGTTCATGCAAAAGACGAAATGAAAAATAACACGTTGAAACAAATATGTCAACACACGCGCCCCTCAAAAGACTCCAGGCTGTCCCTGAAACACTCAACCCTTACCAGAAATTCCCTGAAAACAGGGTCAGTCAAAAAAATCCCTCTGAATTTGTTGGAGGGCCTAATTCATCAGTGTGTGGTTCTGAGATGCGTTAAAAACCCAATTGTGTCATGTTTGTTGGAGTATTTCGGACTTAATTAGCCCTTCGGCCCCCCAATCAGGGACTAACCAATTGCTACTAGTACACTCCCATAATCATGACAAAATGTTGTTTCCGATGTATCCCAGAGTTCTAAAGATTGACTTAGGCCCAGCAACTTGCTGGCTCTCGAGGAACGAGAGAATGACCCTATGAACCATTCCTTATGTTATTTGTTTAAAGGATTGGTTCCTGCCCCAAAACCCCTGCATTCAACCAAATCTAATGCTTTAGGCCGGTATGTGGGCCCAAATGTCAAAATAGCCCCCCCCCAAACAAAAAAAAACGGGTTTCCTTTTGGTTGCCCTTTGAACCGGCCCCTTACAAGAAGCGGCCCTGACAAAAATGCACACTATCAGCCATATGGGTGCGTCTTCTTTTGAGGATACCCTGTTTGTTGGTGCCTCGAAGCAAACAATAGCTTTATGTAGCTATACTGTTTCAAAAACAAAAAAAAACGGGTCCCCTAAAAAACAGACAGCTCCAACAATTTCAGTCCCGTTCCAAAAGCCGCCGGGCCACCACCTCCAACTTGATCTGGCGGTTGTCCACCCAGGCCCCGTCAAAGCGCTGCACCGCCCGCTCCGCCGCAGTCTTGGAGTCCTTGGTCGGGTCCAACTTGACACGTGAGCCACGAGTATCCGTTGTCTTTCCATGGGAATTCGGCAACAACCGAAAGGTTTCAAAAAGGGAAAATGACTGCATCTATATTCTGAGTGTTGTTTTGAAGAAGAATTCGAACATATGTTGTGGGTTACTCCCCTGCAAACTAACATTCAGGGTGTCCATGTCCGATCATCTGTGGCGGACGGTCAATATTCATTGTGTCCCCAACTGACATGGGAATTTGGTGACGTTGGACGCAGAGTTGAACAACAACTGGCTGCCTATGTCCAAAAAAGACATATCTCGTCTCGACAACCACGTATGTCGTATGTCTGCATGCCACAGCGCCAAGCACAGATTCAACAAATCGAACTCCCTGCAGGAAACCCATTTTAAAACCCCAAGAGAAAAAACAACACGCTGTTTGTGGGAAGTTGCTTGTGAATCAGTGAAACCCCTCCAAACAAACACCCTCCCATGTAAACCCCCCCCCCCAAAAAAAAAAACACCAACACGCTCATTGTGGCAAGTTCTTTTTTGAACCCCCTCCAAACCGCCCCCCCCAAAAAAAAAAAAAAACGCCCAACTTGGGGCGCGCAGCCTTGGGTGTCTCCCCGTCTCCGAGGCTCGAAGGTGCAGCTGCCCCAGCCCAGGCTCTTGCCGCCGTCCGAGCGCTGAAGCGCGAAGACCAGCACCGTGCCCGCCTCCGATGGGCCCCGAGGTGTGGGGGGCTTCATGGGACATGGAGTTGTCCAACATAGGGAAAACTGCCATGTCCATTCTTTCCAAAAATCATTCTTTTCAGAAAACCATCAGAACCCCAGGGGAAACAGCTGCTGTGACTTCGCAATGAACCTCAGGGGAAACAGCTTGCCACCTTACGGAACCACAGAACACATGAGAAGAATGATGGTTGAAAAGAATGGGGAATCAACACCTAGAAACATACAGTGGATGGTTGTGAAATCCGTTCGCACCGGATTGAAACAATGGATGAAACCATTATTTGTTGGTGTTTGCAGCGGAATCATCATTCCAAGGCTTCTTCGGTGGCGCAGGATTTCGTCCATCCACAGCAGGTTTAAACACACACAAACCAAAAAAGGAGGTTGGTTTCCTGCTGGCTTCTATTTTAAACCCACAAGGGCACCCATTTTCAAAAAAAGTAAAACACACTCATGGCATTGGGCTTTTGGTTGGTGACCCATGTTCTGCAAGCTGGGCAACCTTTCCAAGCATTTACTTGGTCTACAGCAAAAGCAAAATGGTCCTTTGAGCGAGGGTCAAGAGAGAACGACTGGAAACCCCTTTTCAACTGAGGCACGCCTAAGACATCAAGGTGTCATAGCGGAGTCCCCAAGTAAAAATCAGACTCATTGTTCCAAGCGTTCCCTATTGAAATGCATAGCCGTCTTTTTTCTCTCCGGCGCCCTTGCTCGTGAGAGTCGGTCAGAGCACTACAAACAAATCCCCTGAGACTGAAACAAAACCTGGTTCCTCTACAAGTGGGTGGGTTGGGCTCTTTCGGTTGCTCAGAACTTACCAGTCTGCAACACTTGAGAAAGCGACAAACTGGAAGGGTCACGGCTAAACTGAAACCCCATCAGTCTGCTAGACCTCCTGTTGTCATGTCTCTGATTTTATAAGAAACATCGGTTGATCAGCTGAGACCCTTCCAAGCCACCAGTTGGCCGGAAATCAACATCCACTGCCTTGGACAGGAGCCAGCGCAGGAAGCCTGGTGAGTCGGGGCGACCCAGTGGATGTTTTGTTTATGTCGATCCCAGAACCTGGTGGAGCATTCGGGGAAGGTTCAACACAACAAAAGTTGCCAAGATGGAACACCCTGTATCAATTCAGGATTTGTGTTGATTCCTGGTTCAGTTTCATATCGTATTCATGTATTGCAATGTAATCTAATCTAATGTACTGTAATGCAATGTAATCTACTGTAACATGACCTGTAATGTAATGTAATGTAATGTAATGTAATGTAATGTAGGGTAATGCAATGTGATGCAATGTAAGGCAATGTAATGCCATGCAATGGAATGGAATGTATGTATACACGATGATTGCATTACATACGGTGCATTGGGCGTGTCGAAAAACGTCGAATTAGTCTCACGGGTCCCTTCTTGGTTGGTCCTTGTAAAGTAAATCACGTGCACCCAACCACGACACACCACCATATTCAACAACCCGCGAAAGGACGTTTTGTTCTGGGTAGCAATTGGCTTCTGCTGTATATGAAATGACATGGGAACTGAGTGAATCAAAGAAGTTGACAAGGTGCGAAACCTGCTTCTAATGGTTGAACGTAGAAACGGGGGTCCGTTGCTTGTCCAACCAAACCCTGAACCAGCGTTCCCTTGCCTCCTTTCTCGGGCGTCTGGCGTCCCTTCAAGACAACCCAGAATTGTTTTGAGGGCGCTGCTCCACACATTTTGCCAAAGCAGTCGTCAAAGGACAACTGGCCAAATCTGAGGTCGATTCCAAAACCACCTGGGTGGTTCCAAAAAATGGGCGGCCTGTTCATCCAAAACCGCAAACATGGGCAACCCTGCCCAAAAATGGAAAGCCATGCGCTCAAGACATATCAGATAGTCTGAGAAAGGGGCAACTCAGCCTTGGCGGTCAACCTGACAATTGCAACTTCATTTCAAAAGAGGATGTTGGGCACGGCCCAAAATTAAACAGCTTAAGTTACGTAGGTGTTAGTCCTTCTTCCGTATACCAAGGTGCAATTATGGGTGCCATCTTTTGAGATCCGCCGGAAATCAATTCCACAGCCCCTTCCAGGATTTTCCGCTTCCGAAGCGCCTTCGGTGCTCACCGCGTTGCAGTTGCTGAAGATCACGGAGCCTCGCCGGTCCACAAATGGGTGGCTCTTTTAGGGGACCCCCAAAATGGTGGTTTTCCTTTTGGTTTAAACCACCCCAACAAGGGTACCAGTACCATCAAAGCAAGACACACCCAAAGGTCGTTGCTCACTTGCAGTCCTCCAAAAAGACAAGCCACCCGCATGGCTTGCTCGACAAACTAATTATCTGCCGATGGGAGTCATTGTTGCTCAGATCCTCTTCCCGACATGTCGAACCTCTGCAGTGCGGGCAGCAGCTTGCGGTGGGACGCATGCGGTTTGCTTTGGAGTGGGAAATCTCTCCTGTTGGTTTCCCAACATGTAAATGATGCGAAGCGCGACCTATGAACCCTAAGGCAGCGCCCGTCATAGCTGTCTGGCAATGGCGTACAAAGACTGCAGCTTCAGGCGGCGCTTTTTCTATATCAGGCACTCAGACGGGTCTCAAGACTCGAGATAATAATTGAATCTGTGCCTGCATGCATCCTGACCAATGCGGCGGCAATGGCAAGAGCCACTGCTCCTGCTTTTGCATCTTTGTGTCTTCAAAGTTGAACATATCAATGCAAACGTCGCCTTCATAGACACATTGGTAAAACTCCGATACCCGTGAAGTGGTAGGAATAAACCACTTTAGCAAAACCCCTCGGAGAAGTAGGGCTGAGATTACTCTGAAGTTAACATGCCTCCTCCGCATGAACCCGATATTGAAGTCATGTGCTACTCCAATCACCTTCTCACCTGGTCAACTGGGAGACCCGGCAAGGCTTCTCTGGCACCTTCTCCTGGCAAAGCAAAGGGACAAAAGACCGTGAGGCTGGGCGACAAATGTCTGCTGTTTTGCTGACTGGCAGCTCCAAGGAGAAGAAAGACTTGCACTTGTTGATCTGAAAGGGTCGACCCAACACAACCACGAAGCAAGGGTGTGAGAGGCCAACTGGGATGAGTCAAGCTGACATATCCCCACATTTCATGATTGCCATTAAGAGGCGGCGAGCCATTTCAACATGGGTATGTTCCAAAATAGAGGATAGGGGACCCCAGTGTTCCGTTTGGATTCGTTGTAAACCAAGCTGAAACCAGTACCTTCAACAAGAAAAACACACACAGAACACACACACACACACACACGTCATTCCACTTCCTAATCCGCAGGCCTCCGGATTTAGAACAATCCGGGGGGTCAGTCCAAAAGGCACCCACCTGCAGAGAACCGCATAAGGCTGTCGTGAAAGCCACGGAAGGTACCCAAAGTGGGGGAGGTTGAATTCCTCTTCCATTTACAAATAGCACAAGAAATGGAGATCTCCATCCACGGACTCGCCCTGTTCACCGACCCATAGGCGCGCCTTGCGCCAATCCTCGTGACCTTCCTCTGGGCGGAAGAGGCATACCCGCATGGTGCGCCCGTAGACGTACCTTCACTCACTGAAAACCCGCTCAGATATTCAAACTCTATGGGTGAGACAAGTGTAGCCCTTCAACCCCTGCTCTGCCTCTTGGATCCCTGAACCAACCCCTGCTCTCCCGCTGCTGTGAGACATTAGGTGTGTGATCCAAAAACACATCCTCCCGTCATTGCGATCCACGCTTTGAATCGCGCAACTATCAAACATGTAGCCCAAATATCTTCTCCGATTCTTGCCGGCCTACGTCTGCCAGTGACTCTCGTTGACTGCCGTGCAGACTTGAGTTTTTGGTGCCTTGTGGCCTTCGGATGAAATATTGCCTGAACATTGCCCAAGCAGTGCAAGCAATTAATTTGCAAGTGATATGGACATGCCCAGAAAGGAGGGACCACCCACAGGTGGTCTGTGAAACGCGCCTTCTGCAAAGCTGATCGCGCTGTTGTATCTCTAGTGTTCAGCGCTACGTAAGTAATGGATGCCCGGCAGTCATGGTGCTTTCTCGGAGATGGGTCAACTGCCAAGGGCTGTTGTGATCATGGTTCTGGGCAAATGGGTGTCTTTTTCTAGGGGACTTTTCTTTTGGCTCCCCAAAACAAACCAAAACTTTTTTTAAAGGACCAACATTCATGACTCCGAGACACCCCAGCATCTTTTTCAAGGGACCTCCACGGATTTCGATTCAGATCGCTCACTTTGTCCCCCTCAGCAAGCACCATTTGGTCGTGACCAAATAGCACCAACAAAACCCTCGCGGAAGTGGCAGCCTTCCTTGAAGTGCTTGGATACGTTTTTGGTTCGCGCGGAGTCCTTGAAGCGCAAGGTCCGGAATTCCAAGATCTGCGGACTTCGTCTGCTTGTGTTGCTTTGGCGTTGTTCCAGCATGGTATTGGGCCATGTTTCCTCCAAGCTGAAACCGGCCGAGCAGCCAGCCACTGAGCTGCTTCACAGCCATGGTGGCGTCAGAAGGCTTCAGGTAGGTCACCTTGCCTCACAGCCGGGTGTCTTTGAACAAACGTTTTTGGGGGAAAAGCAAAGGGACCGCTACTTATTCCGCATTTCGGAGAGATATGGAGGATGGTCCACGGGGTTCCAACTAGCCAGGCGACCATTTTGTGCTTGTTCTAACCATGAAAATCGGCCTTCCAATAGCAAATGCACGCCTTAATCCATGATGTCATATGGTCTCGAAGGAATTTGACTGAAACACCGGAAGAGCATACTTGTCAGACTTAGCTGTACGGGCAAAACTGATCCCTGCAAGAAGAGCGCTCCGCTGGTTTGTGAAAGAAGTCGTCATTCTCCGAAAGGATAAACAGTTATGTGATCCCCGGCAAGCTTACATGTTTCCCCAACAGGACACGGTAACATTGAGTGGGCTCCTGGCTTTTGTAGGAAATTTGGAGTGGGACCCCCTGCCATCCTCCCCAAACTAACAAGTGACTGCCAGGAACTTTGTCAGTTGCTCGGAATTCACTGGGTCACCAAAAGATCGCTGACTGGCTCAGGAGCATCTGGAGGCGACCTGCGTACACTGCCCTTATGTCAAGCACCATCGCCAAGCGCTGGGGTGCTGGCGGTTGAAGTCCTCAAAATCCCAGAGCCGCATTACCGATCCGAGGTGACCGGATCGGAGAGAAAGCAATCGTACGGCTTTCTGAGTTCAGACGGCTTGCTCCGCCAATGAAAGGACAAGCGCATAGATCAAGTAGTGCATAACGGCTGATGTCAGCAAAAGTGTGCATCTCCCGTTCTCATACTTGGGAGCGACCACCGAGAGTTCAAAGACCATCCTTTTGACTGCAGCCCACAAAATCTGTACGAGTGCCAAGTTCTTGTAGGCAGCAGCCAGAATGCCTGTTGTGGAACCAGCATTTCTCGACAAATCGCTTGGCCAACCGGAGCTAACTT